TTTGCACTCAACAACACACACACATATTTTGGTAGTCATACAGCAGGGCACACACACAATATGGATGCTTTTGCGTTCAATCTTTTGCAAAAACACATCAAACACACTCTCACATACACACCCACACACAATAAACAAAACATTCACTTAACACTTGTCCACGTCAGCCGCCCGAGTGGCGGCGGCCTTATCCTTCCCCTCCGGCCCATACCAAACGGCGCACACGAGATAAACGGCAAAGTTGACGACTCCAAGAATAGCCAGCAGCCAATAGAAGCAGTCGAGTCTGCCGTAGTTTATATTGTCGGCAAGCCACCCTTGCCTTCCACCGCCCGTCGTGACCTTTTTCACGACCGACACCAAAAAGCTGCTCACGAAAAAACCGAGAGAGATAGTCGTGAGGAAAAGGCCGGTGCTCATGGTCTTCATCCCCTTTGGGGAGCGCGTGATGAAGAAGTCGAGCTGGCCCGTGTATATGAAGGCCTCACCGGCTCCCACTAGGAAGAACTGCGGAATCAAGATGAAGACGCTTATCGGGAGATCGTGGGCCGACTCGTCGACGGATTTTGCTACCGAGAGTCTCTTCATCTCGGCTAGCGCCGCAACTCCCATGCCGATTGTGGAGAGGAAGAGCCCGAGGCCCATTCTTTCAAAGCTCGAAAAACCTACGTGCCGGTAGATGGTTTTCGTCGTTTAGTTCTCGGTTTTATGTGCAAGTTGTTTTAAGGCTCTGTTTGGTAAACTTACCTAGCTGATAAACTAGCTTATAGCTTTTAAGTGAATTTCGAGCTTATAGCTGACAGCTTATGACTTATCGCTGAAAAGCTAATAACAGATAAAAGTATTTGCTAAAATTAGTTGATAAGCTAGCTGAAATAAAAATTTCAATGAGCTCCTCCCACCAAACCAATCTTATTTGATCTTAGGATGCTCATAAGCTAATCAAATAAACTATAAGCTAGCTTATATGTTTACCAAACACAGCCTGACACATATGCAGATAGATACCTGGTTTTCCTTTCCATTTGGTCCAGAGCGGCATGATCACGCGGTCGTAGAACGCGAGTGTGATGAGAATGGCGGCCACGAAAAAGACGGTGAGGGAGCCAGCCGGGATGCGGAAGCTTCCCATGGATCGGTCCATGGTGGAGGCTTGCTCGACCGAGAAAGTTATCATCTGCGCATAAGTCGTCCAAAAGATAATGGTCGTTGCCCAAATCGGGAGCAACCGCCCGACCATCTTCACTTCCTCCACCTTAGTCACCGGGCAAAGCTTCCACGGGTTGTAACAGCTGAAATCCTTCTCCAAGTCTCCTTCCGCCACAATCGCTGCCTTGTCCAAGAAACTGCGTGACAACGCGTGAGCAAGTCGAGTAATTATTACATAACGTTTCGAGGAAAAGACTAAATGGCCAAAGGTTGGCATTAATCACCTGAACTGTTGGGTATGCGCGATTCTAGATGACTCGGGTGTATCCTCGTACAACATGCCCACATCGTACGGAAGTCTCATCTTCCTGTTCCGGAAAGCAGCCGAGACGACCTGGCAAATTTGGACGATAGGGCTTCCCGCGCTTTTCTTGAACCGATACCTTTTAGTCCCCGACAGGAAAACGACTATGGCCGCCAGCATGGCGACCGTGCAGATACCGTACGCCAGGCTGCGGCCGATCTCGTCCTGAATGTAGACGAGCACCGTGACGGCTGTGAGGGTCCCGATGCTGATGAAGAAAAAGAATCGGTTGAAAAAGTAAGCCATCTGCGCCTTCTCCCGTTCGTCCTTGTCGTCAAATTGGTCCGTCCCGAAACCCGACACGCTCGACTTCAGGCCACCGGTGCCTAAAGCTATGAGGTAAAGGGCTAAGTAGAGAATGGCCATTTGAAACCCATTTGCCGGCTTGCACGTGTGGCGGCAGGGCGGCGGCCGGAGCTGGGGCAAGGCGGTTGTCACGGCAAGCATTCCAGTTCCCTAGTAAACGAGTGTAACGAAATTTTTACGGCAAATGAAAATTAATTCACGGAACGGTAAGTTTGATGATTGGGTAAAGGCGGCAGCCGCTAGCTCACCAGTGCTTGGACAGTGGAGAAAATGGCGATGGTTTTGTATCTTCCTAGGAAAGAATCTGCGATGAATCCACCGAGCATGCAAAGGAGAAAGCACGTGCCCATAAAGTCGGTTACAATGTTGGCTGAAGTCGAGCTCGGGAGGTGCATTACACCACCGAGGTACGTCACCAGGTTCACGGCTATTCCCATTGTCGAAAGCCTCTCGA